TAATCAGTGCTCAACTAGGGAAGATGTTATGTATATAGTCTTTTTTTCTAAGATAGTTTTTCTTTTTAATGTCTTGTTTGTTGTGTTATATTTTTATTTTATATTCATTAAGTTTTGTATTTTAACTTTCCTTCAATAAACTGAATATTATTGCAAATAAACCAAAACAAAATTAAAATAATACAAACTAAGAAAGGGAGAAACATATATTTTATTCTTGTCAATAGTGAGGTAGTCCTTGATTTAGGACCACATTTGACCCATTAACTGCATGTTCAAAAACATGAATCCCAGCTCTTCCAGTTTCAGTCATTAAGTGATCACTCAAGTCATTAAATGCATGGATTTATGCAGGTAAGAATCATTCATCCCACCAGTGGTGGCTTCCTACCTTTTCAGACCAGTTCAGTCGAACTGGCAGTGGTTTGGTGGCCTGGGTCACTGGAACTCAGCCCTGCCACGGCCCCAAACTGGTTCCCCGGTTGGCACCGTTGGCACAGCCATCCTGATGGTGACTAGTTCTAGGTTCTACTAATAGCCAAGAGCTATTTCCAAGCTAGCAATTCTTTCTCCCTGCAGGCAGACATCCCAAAACAAAATAATTCATGATGCAGCTGCGGGGCATAGGTATAAAATGGTGAAGTGTAGGCAATCAAGAAGAATACTACAAGTTGATCACAGACATTTCTTTATTGCTGTTCTAGGCAGGAATCTTGCTGGAGTAAAGCACAGTTGATATAACAATCCGACAAATCCTGTGAAGGTTTTAGGGACAATTGCTTCTAGACGTCCTCCTGCATATCAAAGACTCAAGGCTGATTTGCCTTTTAACTCCTTGAGAAAGAGGCCTTCCCTCCAATTTCCATAACATAAATCAAATTAAATATTTATTTTGGTTATAGATCAGATAAAAAGGGTTTTAAAAAGGCTGGAACAAGCACATAAAAGTTAAAAAAAATTGAAAAATTACTATTTATATCTATACCTATGTCATCTATGTATGTATATCTAGCTACCTCCAGCTCTATCTATATCTATGTCTAATCTCTCTCTCTCCCCCCTACCCCTACCGCTAATCAATCTACCTCTTATCCATCCATCCATCCATCCATCTATCTATCTATCTAACTTCTATCTACAGAAACACACACATACACAATCCTTTAAAAAACACACTATTCCAAAAGTAGCAATATGGAATTACAGGATAGAAACCCAGATGAGGTTTGTGTTTAGAGAGGAAAGGTCTAACAAGGTCCTCCTATACCAGAACTTTGCCAGTTGAGGTTGGTGCCATCTAAGAAATAAGGACTTGAAATATCTATAAAAGATTGCCTGGAAGGAAGGCTCACAATGATAGAAGCTACATATCTTTAGTCAAGAAAAAAAGCCACTAATTAATGATTATTAATGAGAGAGAGAGAGAGAGAGAGAGAGAGAGAGA